GTGTCCAGTGTCCTTGTGCCTGAAATATTCGCCGAGGATACGGCCCGCGGCAGGGGGAAGGGGGGGGGCGGATTGCCAGATCGGACTTCGGCTCCGCCATAGAACATTGTCGACTTCCTTCGTGCGCTCCTTCCACCTTCCGTCAGCGCCACGCACTCCAAGGATAGCGTGGGTCCTAACGAAAATTTCTCGACCCGTCCGGTAGTGAGAGGCAAGAGCGGGGCGCTCGACCCCGGGGCCTCTTTGCGCGGGAGTGAGGCGGGCGGCGCGCCTCTGCGCAGCGTTTTTGTCCCACCTCCGCAGCCAAAGGGCAGCCTGCTGAGGTGTCAAGTCATTGCCGTCCCTCTCATATTCAGCGAGCCAGGCCGCGAGTGCCCCCACTGGGCGTGTATTGGAGTCAGATCTTACTGCAGCCGCGAGCAGAGTACCTGGCGAGCGGTTGGTTTTGCTCCTGCGCCACTTCCTCCACCAGTCCTGTATGGCCGCAGACATGGCGTGGCGACCAAGAGAGAAAAGGGCAGGTAATAGCGGGACAGTGTGATCGTCGGGCGGGTTAGGGGCAGGGGGCGGGGGTGAGGGCTCCTGCTCTCTTTCTCCTTCGCCGTCATCATTGTCACTGTGTCTGGCTGGGAACTGTCCAGGGGTCGCCGGACGGACCCAGTCGGCGGGTTGCAGGAGGCCGGTCAGGTCAACGTCAGGCAGCCCGAATGTGCGCTCGAGGAACGAATACAGGGTCCTTAATTCCGCGTGTGCCTCGCTTGGAAGCAGGCGTAGGTCGCCCGCACGAATGGTGTTGTCCCTGCGGGTTCTGGGGGCGCCCTGCGGCTCCAGGTACAGGATGGCATGGTCAGAGACCGAGGGCTTCCAGGCCTTCCTGACACCGTAGGCCCCAAGCTGTCGGAAAGGGCAAGCAACGATGTCGATCTGTGATTCATTGTCCGCGTCCACCCTGGTGGGCCCATCACATTGGCAAGCACTTGATCCAGTCAGAGAAAATAGGTCAGAGAGGGTCGCAGCCTCATCGGTTTCGCCGTCTCTGGGGTTGTCAAACTGGATGTTGACGTCACCTTCCCAGTACGTGGGGGTATCGTCCCATCTTTCGATGGCCTGTCGGATGGCCTCGATGGTCTCGGCTTTTCTGGATGGTGGAAGGTACACCGAGACCAGGCGGTAGGTGCTGTTACCTCGCCTGATGGTGGCTGCTACAGCGCACCCGGGGACGAGGTCTTCCGCCTGGAGGAGCGTAGTGCTGTGCGGAATGATGATTGCCACTCCACCGGCGCAGCCCCCAGCTGGTCCACTGTAGGCTGGAGAGGCGACCAGCGTGCGAGCGTGGAACATGGTGGACCAGACGGCAGCTTCGTGCTCTGTCCAGTGGGTCTCCTGTATGAGTCCTATCCTACCGTTGGTGGTCATCTGCGTTAAGAAGGCATGCTTGATCATATTTTTGTGTGCAGTCGTGCTTTTGAGATACCTGACGCTCCAGGAGCCCACTTTGAGGGTGCCGGCCTGTGTGGCGTTGGAGATGGCGTCGACCAGGGCACGTAGGGAGGAGTCGCCGCACAGATCCGCCCAGGTGGGGTTATTCCAGGGGGTGGTATGTAAAAAGGCCCAGAGGGATCGCGGCCGCCGGACGGTGTAGTTGCTGTGCAGAGCAAGGGCGCGGCTCAGGGAAGAGCAGGCAAGTTGCCAGGCTCTGGTTCTCGCCCCCGGAACGAGATTCGCGAGCGGGGGAGACCCAAGGGCATGATGAAGCGTCCCTGGGTCTTCGGGCGAGTCTAGGGGAACGGCAGCCCTTGTTCAAGTAACTGCTGCTGCAGCATCTGGTGGGGATACGCGAAGCGTCAAGAATCACCATCGACATCCTCATCAGAATCATCAGCAGCAGCATCATCATCAGCAGCATCATCAGCAGTTTCATAATCACATGCAGTAGCATCATCATCAGCATCAGCATCCTCAACATCATCATCATCCGCATCATCATCAGCAGCATCATCAGCATCATCATCGTCATCAACATCAGCATCACGATCATCATCATTAGCACCCTTATCGTTCTCATCATCCTCATCATCAGCATCCTCATCAAAACCACCATCATCATCAGCATCATCAGCATACTCTTCATCAGCAGCAGCACCATAAACATCATCAGCAGCAGCATCGTCAGCGTCATCATCATCATCATCATCATCATCATCATCATCAGCATCATCATCATCATAATCATCACCTTGAGCAGCATCATCAACATCATCAGCATCATCCACATGTCCTCCGCCTCCTCCTACTCCTCCTCCTCCTCATTCTCCTCCTTCTGCTCCTGCTCCTCATCCTCCTCCTCCTCCTCCTCCTCCTCCTCCTCCTCATCATGCCCCTCCTCCTCCTGCTACCCCTCATCATCCTCATCCGCCTCCTCCTCCTCCTCCTCCTCCTACTCCTCATCATCATCATCATCATCATCATCATCATCATCATCATCATCATCATCATCATCATCATCATCATCATCATCATCGTCATCATCATCATCATCCTCCCCATCTCGCTCCCTGTCTCCATCACTTCCTCTTTCCCTCCATCCCTCTCTGCCACCCGTCCTCCCCCACTCACTGCCACCCTCACTCCCTCCCTCCTTCCCTGCCCCCCCCCCGCCCTCCCTCAGTCATTATGATCATATTCATCTTTCTCGCAGCATCCTCATGTTCAGCATGCGCAACGTAGTATCAGCGGCAGCAGCAGCATCAGCATCATCATCACCACCAGCATCATCATCATCATCATCATCATCATCATCATCATCATCATCATCAGCAGCATAATCATAATCAGCAGCAGCATCCTCATCATCGTGCGCATCCTCATCCTCATCCTCGTCATCATCATCCTCCTCATCATCAGCAGCATCATCATAATCATCATCATCATCATCAGCATCATCCTCATCATCATCATCAGCAGCAGCATCATCAGCATCATCATTAGCAGCATCATCACCATCGGCATCAGCATCACTATCATCAGCATCATCAGCATCATCAGCATCAGCATCATCATCATCATCAGCAACAGCATCATCATCAGCATCATCATCATCATCATCATCACCATCGGCCTCGTCACCATCGCCATCACCAGCATCATAGTCAGCATCAGCAGCAGCATCAGCATTTTCATCATCATCATCATCATCATCATCACCATCATCGTCATAATCATCAGCATCATCAGCAGCAGCAACATCATCATCAGCATCGTCATCATCCCTCTCATTCTTCCCCTGGTGCTCTCCTCCTCCTCCTCCTCTTCATCCTCCTCAGCCTTCTCCTCATCATCAGCATCAACAGCACCAGCAGCAGCCGCATCTGCATCAGCATCAGCATTAGCATCGGCATCATCATCAGCATCATCAGCATCGTCACCATCGCCATCACCAACATCAGCGTGAGCATCATCATCATCATCATCATCCTCCGTATCAGCATCAGCATCATCATCCTCATCCTGGACCCCATCATCATCATTATCGTCATCATCACCCGCATGGGCATCGTCATCCTCATCCGCATCATCATCATCATCATCATCATCATCATCATCATCATCATTATCATCAGCATCATCATCGTCAGCAGCATCATCATCATCAGCATCATCATCATCATCATCATCATCATCATCATCAGCATCATCATCATGATCATCATCATCATCATCATCATCATCATCATCATCATCACCATCATCATCATCATCATCATCATCATCAACAGCACCAGCAGCATCAGCATCAGCATCAGAATCATTGTCGTATTGAGAATCATTCTCCTCTGCCTCACCATCAGCATCATCCGCATCAGCATGATCATCCGCACCGGCTGCAGCGGCAGCAGCAGCAGCATCGGCAGTATCATCATCAGCAGCATCATCAACAGCATCATCATCATCAGCAGCAGCATCATCAGCATCACCATCGTCATCGACATCGTCGGCATCATCATCATCATCATCATCATCGGCATCATCATCATCAGCAGCAGCATCATAATCATAATCATGAGTATCATTATCATCATCATCAACAGCAGCATCATCATTATTATCATCGTCGTCGTGGTCGTCGTCGTCAGCATCAACATCAGCATCATCATCAGCATCAGCAGCATCATCGTCGTGGTCGTCGTCCTCAACCCCTCCGAATCATCATCATCATCATCATCATCATCGTCGTCATCATCATCATCATCATCATCATCATCATCATCATCATCATCATCATCATCCTTATCATCATCAGCAGCATCATCATCGTCATCAGCAGCATCAGCATCATCAGCCATCAACTTCAACATCATCATCATCAGAATTGTAGTCGTTATCATCATGATCATTATCAATACCATCATCAGCATCAGCATCAGCATCAGCATCATCGACGCCATCAGCATCATCATCGTCATCATCGTCATAAGATTCACCATCAGCATCATCATCATCATCATCATCATCATCATCATCATCATCATCATAAGCATCATCAACAGTTTAACATTATCACCGTCATCATCATCAGCATCGGCAGCAGCAGCTGCATTATAGCAGCATGTTCCTCATCCACCTCCTACTTCGTCTCCTCCTCATCCTCCTCATCCTCCTCATCATAATCGTCAGCAGCAGCAGTATCATCATCTTCATCATCATCATCATCAGCATCATCATCATCATCATCATCATCATCATCATCGTCATCATCATCATCATCAGCATCAGCATCAGCATCATCATCATCATCATCAGCATCAGCATCAGCATCATCATCATCGACATCGTCGTCATTATCATCAGCGTCATCACATGATCACCACACTCACCATCATCACCATCATCACCACCACCACAACCATCATCATCATCATCATTATCGGTATCAGCATCATCATCAGCATCATCATCATCATCAGCATCATCATCAGCATCATCATCATCTCATCCCCCGCAGGGAATACAGAGCGATCATGGTGTTGCCAAGGTGCACGCACGAAAAAGACACATGTGCGCTTCTAAGAGCAGGAGATGGAACACGAGGAGGGGGAATGCTCAAAAGCAGAAGTAGGGTATCCAGAGGGACGAAGGACTAGAAATGATCACAAGACAACAAACATGAAGGACAGGCACATGATCAGCAGGAGAAGACTCCGAAGAGCCCCACCATGGACATCATCTGGATCTGCATCATGCCCACCTGTCCCGCGGTGGAAGAGGTTAGCAAATATGGAGGGGGGCACGCGAGAGAAGTATACGACAACGAACACCAGAACGAGGAGGGACCGAAGGACGGAGGGAAGGCGGAGGGCAGGGAGGAGGCAACTTGTGGCGGGCCCGCATACGCTGTGCTTGCGAGGGCCACTGGCCAGGTTGCCAGATGCACACACATGTTTGCTGCCCTGTTTGGCGGCGCGCACAAGGGGGTGGACGGAGGGGGGAGGGCTTCTTAGAAGGAGGCTGCTTCTTAGAAGGCGCCGGCCTTACATCTATAGATAAGGCCCGCGCCTTCCAGAAGCAGGGGTGTTTCTAAGAAGCCCTCCCCCCTCCCCCCACACCCCTCTGCGCGTGGCTGCCCTGTCCAGCGCCGCGACCTCGGAGGTCTTCCAGATGCGGGGCTCTCGCTCGAGGCTTCCTCGATGCTGGAGGACCGAAGCTTGAGCGTGAGTGCAGCAGATGCACGGGCGGAGGGGCGGCTCCTCGTCAGAAGGAGGCTCGCGCTGGATACCTCCTCGAGGTGCCCGACCAGAAGAACCTCCTCGAAGTGCACGATCGGAAGCGCGCGCGCCTGTGCAACAGAGAGGGGTCTCGCTGAACACCTTGTTCAACTGTGCGATCCTCCTCCTCCTCCACCTCCTCCTCCTCTTCCGCCTCCTCCTCCTCCGCCTCCTCCTCCACCTCCTCCACCTCCTTCTCCTCCTCCTCCGCCTCCTCCTCCTCCTCCTGTGATCCTACCATGCCTCGTTCCTTACTACTCGCTGGAAGGAGGCCTGGGGTGCCAGTCCTTCAAGGGGGGGGCGCTTCTTGTCACGCCAAGGCATGCGGCTGGAGACTCATTGGGAGGGGACTGGAAATGGGAGGGCAAACTGCAACATGATTTGATGCATCTGGGACTAACTCAAGTCCTCCTCCCCCTCCTCCTCCCCCTCCTCCTCCTCCTCCTCCTCCTCCTCGTCCTCCCCCTCCTCCTCCTCCTCCTCCTCCTCCGCCTCCTCCTCCTCCTCCTCCTCCTCCTCCGTAGCCATTTTGGCTCAAGTGTTGTCGCTGCAGCTGCAAACACTCTGCACGGCGGCGCCGCCCTGGCGTCTTTCTCGGCCGCACGGCGCGCGGTGGGAAGCAGGCGGCCCGGAGTGGCTTCGCGGTGCGCCATGGCGGCGCTGTGGCGTGGGCGCGGCACCCCGAGGAGGCCGTGGCCATCGTGCAGGTGTTGGCAGGAGGCGCGGCTGCGCCGCGGGCGGGCGTCGCTCGACCTCATCTCCAGGCCAGCGCGCAGCGCCTGCTCTCCGGCAAGGCCGAGCTGGTCGCAGCCATCGGAGGGAGCACCCTCGCGAAGGGGCTGGAGCGGCTCCGCTCCCAGGGGCAGCGGCCGCCCTCGCGCATGCAGCGCTCCTGGCGGGGGCTGGACGCGGCGGCCCGCCTGCTGCGCCGTCCAGGCCTCGGCGATGAGATCCTCGCCAAGGCAATGCGATGGCTTGGGGCTGAGGGCGTTGTCGTCTAGCAGCGTCGGTTAGGTGGACGCGCACGGCACGGAGACCAGCCCCGCGTGCAGCACAGTGCCCGCCAGCTACTTCGGCGACTCGGGCGCTGAGACGTCGGACATTGAGACGTCGCAGGTGGAGGCTTGGATGATGGTGGCTGCGGGGATGAAGCCCTCGGCCGATGCGAAGCCCAGTCTCCAGGCCAGCGTCGAGTCCGAGGCGATCGAGGAGCAGGTCGTGGAGGTCAAAGGCCTCATCATGGACCTTAGGGCGGAGATCGTCCAGCTCGGCGCGTGCTTCAAGCTGGGCGTCCCACGTGGCTCTGCCAGCATGGAGGTGGAGGAGAGGTCCTCGTTTGACCTGGACACCCTGGACGTGGACGTCGGCGGCGACGGCCTCAGCAGCTCCATGCCCACGGAGTTCGAGAAGCGTGGCATGCAGACGTTGGACAGCGAGCTGGCGGACAAGGCGGAGCAGAGCTTCGTAGAGCTATGCGTGCAAACGGTGGGCTGCGAGTTGGGGGAGAGTGGCATGCAGACGGCGTGCGGCGAGCTGGAGGCCAACTCGGAGGAGGCCTCGGGGACTCGGGCGAAGCTCGAGGAGTGCGAATGGTGCCTCGCCGAGGTGGCGGCCGAGCTCAATGAGGAACGCGCCGCGGCATGGGAGACCAAGGCGCAGCTGGCGGAGGCGGTGCGGCGGCTCGCGGCGACGCTCGACGAGGAGGAGCTGAGCGTGAGCGAGGCTGCGGACGGGCCAGCCTGCGCCGCCTCTGACCTCGGGCGGCGTCGGGACGAGCACGCAGCGTCGAGGCGACCATCGGCGCGGGACGCGCAGGCACGGCAAGCAGGACTGCCCCCAGGCCGCGGACGGCGACGACCTCATGGGCACTTCCGAGGGGCAGTTGGCGTCTGCTCGGTCCGCGGGCTTCGATGAGATAGCCACGATGCTCACGGAGCTGGCCCATCGCAGGGGCGCCGTGCTGTCCTGACCCATCTGGATTTTCCTCGGCGCGCCTGTTGTGAATGCCTCCACGGAACGATTTAAAGATGTGCGCTCTTTTTCGGCTCCGCCTCGTCTCCCCTGCAGTCGTGGCTCGCACTCGTGCGGGCATCACCCGAAGGACCGTCTTCGGCGAGAGTGTGGCAGAAGCGTGCTTGCTCCACGGTTTTTTGGAACGACCAGGGCAAAGGCCTCGGTTCGCGGCAAGCCTTCGGGGCTAAGCGGCCCATCACCCGTCTCTAGCCAGCGGCAGTGATGCGACGAGGGATGCGCTGCGCATTTGGGGGTTCCCTTGGCTTTCTATCAAGGGAGCCCCCAGGACAAAGGACTGAGATCAGTGAGCTGCCCACAGGGATGCGACGGCGAGCGTTTTTCCTCAGGGGTGCCCTGTCTTGGCCCCTTGGTGGTCTTCGGCCTGCCAGCCGGGGTGACAAAAAGGTCCTCTCCGTTGGCCCCCCCTGAAGAGTTTGTCGCTGGACCGTCGGATTCTCTCATTTTTCTCTCTCCATCAGTGGCGTGCGATCATCCTCCTCCTCCTCCTCCTCCTCCTCCTCCTCCTCCTCGTCCTCCTCCTCGTCCTCCTCCTGCTCCTTCGCCTCCTCCCATCATTCACATCATCATCATCATCATCATCATCATCATCATCATCATCATCATCATCATCATCATCATCATCATCATCATCATCATCATCATCATCCGCCTCCTCCTCATCATCATCATCATCATCATCATCATCATCATCATCATCCGCCTCCTCCTCCTCCTCATCATCATCATCATCATCATCATCATCATCATCATCATCATCATCATCATCATCATCATCATCATCCATCATCATCATCATCATCATCATCCATCGGCATCGTCCTCATCCTCATCCCTTCTCCACCGCAAAACCCGAGGCATCCGAAACGTCCAGCAATCTTCCTTCACCTCCTGCCTCCTCCTAGTAGGCCAGCCCCGCGACCATGAGAGTAGACTCATCGAAGCCGTACGACTTGATCACGGGTCCAAACTTCTGCATGGCCAGGGGCATCAACCGCTGCATCTTTGAGGGATGACAGCGACAAGGGGATAGGGAAGGTGAAGGAGTGGGAGAGGAGAGGAAGGCGTGGGACGAAGAGGGGAGGGGAGAAAGGAGTAGGAGGAGGAGGAGGCCGAGGAAGAGGAAGAGGTGTGGGAAGAGGAGGAGGAGGAGGAGGACAAAAAAACAGGAGTGGAAGAAAGAGTAGGGGGGCAGGGCCCAGAGAAGGGAGAAGGGGAGAGAATGAGGAAGGAGGGGGAGGGGAAGAAGAGGGAGGAGAACACGAGAGGGAGCAGGCGAAGGAGGAAGCTTCAGCGGAGCGAGCGAGCGCGAAGTCGGCTCGACGGACCGGCCCTGCGAGGGCAGCGCGGGCGGGCACGGAGGGCTCAGCCTGTGCTGCAGGGCATGTGCTGCAGGGCCTGTGCTGCAGGGCCTGTGCTGCAGGGCCTGTGCTGCAGGGCCTGCGCATGCTGTCCGCCACCGTGCCGCTGGCACGGCCTAGGGAACATACTTTTTCCACTCGCGCACACAGAGGTTGGCGGCGCGCACAAGGGGGTGGAGGGAGGGGGGAGGGCTTCTTAGAGGGAGGCTGCTTCTAAGAAGCCCTTCCCCCCTCCCCCCACACCCCTCTGCGCGTGGCCGAGGGCCGCTGGCACGCCGAGGGGACATGTTTCCCACTCGCGCGCACAGAGGCGGTGCCCCCCCCATAGAAAAGAGCCCGCCTCGAGCAACATGTCCGCGGCGCGAGCTCAGGGAAAAAATCCGGTCTTGAGTAACATTCGGCGACTCCGAAGAGTCTGGTTTTCAAGGGGTGTGGTTTGCATCGGCGCCCTGGGGGACACCCTGGGAGGCGGGCGGAGACCTCGACAGAGCTCTCCGCCGCGCCCCGAGGAGGCCCAGCGAGGACCGTGTCGTGCTCCCCGGGTCCCAGCAGTGCCGATCGCAAACCACACCCCAGCGCAACCATACCCTTTGTAGTCGCCGAAACATCTCTTCGGCGCGCTGACGCGACACGGAATGCCAAGTGCTGTCTTGCAGGACTTTTCTCTCGTCCGCAAACTCACCCGCACCTTCCTGGGGCAGTGTTCCGAGGCTGTTCCCTCGCAGGCGCGGACAAACACGGCACGCGCGCATAACGAAATGCCTTGCCGCCGCGTGGGGGCGGTTTCTGTCGTGCCCATGGGCGGCCAGAGCCCTCCTCCTCCACCACCGCCCTCCCCCTCCCCAGGGCTGTCTTGCAGGGCCTGTGTCATCTTATGCGGAGCCCGCCCCCCTCTCGCCACGCGCTGCTGCGTGCACAGGTCCACTCTCCCACGAGGCTCCCTTGGCGGCCCGACACGCCTCCCCGGGGCTCGCCAGGACACTCCGAGGCCGCCAGGAAGGCTCGACATTGCCTCAAGATGCACCCAGGAACCTGTAACAAGTGCCGAACAGGTGCCAAGAGGCTTTCAACAGGCGCCAGTGCACCACCAAGACGCTCTCCAGGAGGCCCTCGAGAAGCCTGAAGCATTGATTCTCGTGCGGTGCTTCCATGCTTTTCGCTGTCCACGCTCTTCGGTCGAAGATCGGTTCACTTGGGGCATTCGAGGGCCCAAGGAAGCCCACTGAGAACCCCAAGACGATCCTTAGACGGGCCAGGACGGCCCTAGCCCAAGAGGACCTCCAGAGGGACCCGAAGGCAGCCTAAGAGTGCCCCTAGACAGCCCAAGAAGCCCCACGACGGCCCCACGAGACCCCCCCATACGGCCAAGAGAGTCCCAAGACGGCAAAATAAGGCCCAAAGACAACCCAAGAGGACCCCTAATGATCCAAGACCGCCCAACACTACCCGAAGAGTCCCCACGAGAGCTCTTCAAGAAGTAGAGTCGAGAGGCGGGACATGTCACGGGCTTCTGGGCGTGCTCAACGGGTCGCCAGCAAGAGCGCTTCACTGACACGGTGCTGGATGTACCGCAAGCACCTGGATACATTAAACCGTCTGCTAGGACTCACAATGACTGCAAGCTTGATGCTGAGGACACCATTGCTTGCTGTCGTCGCAGACGCCGCTGTCTCCCATCAAGCTTAGGTCGGGCATGTCCCCCTACAGGCGGAATTTGGACGAAAGATGAGAAATACACCCAAAATACTCAAAAAATGTCATTCACAAAATAGTCCCCGGACTATTTCTGAACTAGTTTTGAATAGTCCTCTTGTAGAGGGACGTGCCCGGCTTAACATGAAGCTCGTGGAGCGTCGGATAAGCCAGATGCCGTCGGCCTGCTGCTCTCGCTGTCCTTCGTGCCGTCGCTGTGCAGGGCGTGGACAGGGGGCGCTTGGCTCCCGCGAGTCCACCTTTAGGGCGGGCGTGCCCTCCTACAGGGGGATGTTGGACGAACCAGACAAAATGGCCCAGAATGATTCAGAAATTGTCAAAAATAACAGAAAAATCGTCCCTGGACTATTTGTTGACTATTTTTGAGTATTCCTCCTGTAGAGGGACAGGCCAGACTTACGTTCCCCCGTCGAACACGTACGCCGCCACATGGGATGCCCGCCTCAATCACGTTTGAGGTACAACATGAGGTCCACTCCGTCCACCTGCGACGCCTCGCCCGACTTCAGTGTTCGTTCGCGTAAGTTACGCCCAAAGAGCTGGATACGTTATCTGGCTAGCTCTCGTTCGAGATCCTACTCCAGTGGTCGGGTGTCTCTTTCACTACATGGTTGTTCCACCTGTGCTCCTGGGGGCATGTTCCGTTGCCGTGTGTGTGGCTAGCTGTTCGTCCCTGTGTCTGGCTTGCCTGGGGCCCTCGGCTGTCTGCCGCATCGCCCCTCTCCGGCCCGCCTCTGCGGTGCTGCGCTGGGCAGGCTAGAAACTCAAATGCCAAAGCGGGCTCCAGACACCCTCAGGAGGAGAGGGGAAGGGGTAAGGAGGGAGGCGGAGCAGAGAGCAGAGCAGGGGAAAGAAAGGACGAGGATAAGACCCTCCGATGGCTTCGGAATGCTCCAAGGGCGTCCGAGAATTTCGGGCGTGCCCGAGGGACCTCAGTGGTTTCCGAGTTCCCAGCTGTGTTCGGAGGATTTCGCAGGATGTAGAGGAGGAAGAAGGAAAAAATAAACGTGGGAAGGTTATGGGGAAGTCTAGGGGGTCATACGGAACGCTAGTCATGGTGGGCTCTTGGGGGAAGACGACGTGGAAAAGGAGGGCCAAGAAGAAGAATGACGAGGAGGGGTGGACAAGGAAGAGGAGTCCGCAGGAGAAAGGATCAGGCAGAAGAGGGAGGAAATGAAGGATGAGAAGAAGAAGCATCGATCCCCGAGCGCCCCCCTGCGAGCGCAGTGGAGACGCACAAAGCAAACATGGTGGAGCCAAAATGGTACACTGAACCTGGCCGAACAGGCCAATCGGGAATCGAACTGCGGATCGGTCCAGAACTCAGTGTTGTCAGCGTGGACCCCAAACTCTGAGCTTTTGCACTGGATGTCTAAGGTATGTAGTGCACTGTATGTGGTGCAAGCTGTGTGGTGCAATCTGTGCGGTGCAAGCTACTTGGTGTAAGATACCATATGGTGGATGCTATGTGGTGTACACTATGCGGTGCAAACCAAGCTACGTGGCCCAAGCGCTGTGGTGTAAGCTATGCGTTGCAATACATGTGGTGAGAGATAAAGACTCTAAGCGACTTGGTGCAACAAATGTGGAATGCAAGCTGTGTGGTGTAAGCTGGGTGCTGAAAACTGCGCGGCAAATGCTACCACCGTAAAGAATATGCATTGACGGATTGGAACCGGAAACCGTACTGGAAAAGAAATCCACTCCCGCAGCGGCCACTGCTGGGGCTCCTAAGGATTCCTAAGATTCCCTCAGGATCCCGGTGGATCCCCAAGGATTCTTAGGATTGCCTAAGGTTCCTAAGGATTCCAACGGATTCGCAGGATTTCACAGGATTGGATTCCGAGGAATCCCTGCGAATCCTAAGGGTTCCTAGGAATTCCAAGAATTCCTGGGGAGATTCCTAGGATTCCAAGGGCTCCCTCAGGACCCCCATGGATCCTCAAGAAGTCGTAAGGGGGAGGGACGAGGAGGAGAGAGGAGGGAGGGGAGGGGAGGGGAGGGACGACTACTCCCAGCCGAAAGCTTCGGGAGGAGGAGGAGGAGGAGGAGGAGGAGGAGGAGGAGGAGGAGGCTTCGGGGAGGAGGAGGAGGAGGAGGAGGAGGAGGAGGAGGAGGAGCAGGAGGAGCAGGAGGAGGAGGAGGGCCTCCCCCTCATTGAAGGGCCTCTGCGGCTGAGCTATGCGGTGCCATCTGTGTGGCACGAGCAGTGCGGCCGCCCACGGGCCGCCCACGCGGCGGTCCACGCGGCGCCGGCGCGGCAGCCTCTGCTGGGCACCAAGGCGCAGCCGCAGCGGAAGCGCCCCGGCGCACGGAGGGCCTGCTGCCGCCCGAGGGGGGGGGGATCGCAAGGGTCGTCCGACGTCGCCGTGCTGCTGGCCCCCTCCGCCGGGGGGGCAGGGCGAGGAGCCAGGGCCAGGGCGGGGCGACCCACCCGGCGCACGAGGCGCCCGCGTGCGGCCACGCCCGGGCACGAGGCGACGCCTCAGCACGCGGCGGCGAGCCCGAGGAGGGGCGGGCCTTCTCAGAAGGCTCGGAGGTCCCCTGGCCCTCTGCGACGTTTTCTCGAAGCCTTCCACGAAGGCACAGAAGGCTTCCGAGCAAGTCCCGCCGCCTCCTGAGAGGGTCTTCTCCTTCTCGTTTCCCCCCCTCGCTCGACGCCGAAACGCGGGCACCAGGCTCCAGCCGCGATTGCATTCGGCGTTGACTGGAGAGGACACGCAAGAAGACCCTTCCGAGGGCCACGGTGCCACAGGAATGCAGAGGGCATGGATCGCGAAGCGCAGGACGCGAGGGTGCCCTGGATTTGGCAGGGCCGACCTGCTAATCAGCATCGACCTGCCCTTCGGAAAGCAGGAGAAACAAAAAAAAAAAAAAAACGAGCGCCAGCACTGCTTGGGAGAAGGCGTCCTCCCCAGGGGGGGGCGCGAGCTGGCGGGCCTCGCCTTCTGCATCTGCTGCGCCATGGGGTCGTCGGGGTGCGTCTTCTTGACGTCCTCGAGAATGGCCTTCACCTCCTTCACGAGCTCCTGCCCGCGCGTGCGCTCCGTGCGAGGTCGAGGCGCGGGCGGGAAGGAAACGGCGGAGAGAAGCCTGAGGCGCAGGGGGAGAAATTATAGAGGGGCGACGAGCGGACGGTGACGGTGACGGAAAGAGAGATAAAGAGAGAGAGAGAGAGAGAGCGAGATCTACATACGTATATAGTGAGAGAGAGAGAGAGGAAAAAGAGAGAGAGAGAGAGAGAACAACTGGAGGAGACGAACAAAAAGAGAGCGAGAGAGAGAGAGAGGCGCACCGAGCCGGGCGGGTGCCCGCTCGGGGCGCTGGGCGGCAGGCGGCCCCCCCCCCGCGCGCACGGCGCTCGGCGCGGGGCGCTCGGCTCGCTGCGGGGCCCCCGGCGAGGCGACGCCTCCCTCGGCGAGGCGAAAGACGGGCGCACGGCGGTGGGACGGGTCTGGGGCCCGCGCGCCGCGCAGCGCAGGTGCACGGGGCGCACGCCCACGCCGGGGGGCCGATGGGGGGAGTCGCGCCCAGGCGGTGGCCGCCCTCCTCGGGCCGGGGCCGGCCGCGGCTCGGAGGTGCCCTTCGCGCGGGGAGGGCGGAGAGCCTGCTGGCCGGCAAGGACAACGACGGCACGGAGCGACCCCTGCCACGCCCGGCGCGCGGGCGCCTGCAGAGCGGGCGTGGCAATCACATGCACAGGCGCGCCCCCCCCGCATGCCGAGCCACAGGTTCGAGCGGGCCAGGGGCCGCCCGAGGAGAAGGGAGAGGAGGGAGACAGAACGAGGGGACAGCGGAGGGGAGAGACTGGGGGGGGAGGGAGAACTGGAGGAGGAGGGGGGGAGAAGGGAGAGAGGGGAGTGATACCCTGCCACCCAGGGTGTGGGGCCCCCGGGGGACCCTGGGCCCACCACCTCCTCCTCCTCCTCTTCCTCCTCCTCCTCCTCCTCCTCCTCCTCCTCCTCCTCCTCCTCCTCTTCTTATTCTGATTATGTTTATTGATATTCTTATTAGTATTATTATTAGTATTATTATTATTAGTAGTAGTAGTAGTAGTAGTATTATTAGTATTATTAGTATTACTATTATTATTACTATTATTATTATTAGTATTATTCGTATTATTATTATTATTATTATTATTATTATTATTATTATTATTATTATTATTATTATTATTATTATTATTATTAGTAGTAGTATTATTATTGTTAATATTGTTGTTATTATTATTAGTAGTAGTAGTAATAGTATTGTTATTGTTATTGTTATTGATATTATTATTAGTATTACTATTACTATTCCTATTACTATTAATAGTAGTCTTATTATTACTATTAGCCTTATGATGCTTAGTCTTAGTAGTATTAGTATCAGTAGTATTAGTATTGTTAATATTGTTAGTGATCTTATTCGTAAATATTCTTATTACTAGTATTATTACTCGCATTATTATTATTATTATTATGACTAGTCTTCGTATTGTTCTTCTTATTAGTATTAGTACTCTTCTTCTTAATAGTTTTAGTATTCTTCGTATTATAGTATTATTCTTAGTATTCTTAGTATTCTTAGTGTTCTTAGTATTATTAGTATGCTTATTATTTCTATTAGTCTTCGTCTTCTTATTATTATTATCATTATAATTATTATTCCTCCTCCTCCTCCTCATCATCCTCCTCCTCCTCCTCCGCCTCCTCCTCCTCCTCCTCCTCCTCCTCCTCCTCCTCCTCCTCCTCCTCCTCCTCCTCCTCCTCCTCCTCCTGTCCAACGTCACGCTTTCCACGGCAGAACCGTCGAAACCTAGGGAACCCAGGGCACCCTGGAGGCAAGGTGTTCCTTGGCGTGGGTCTCCACTGTAACGCGCCGCCTGCGAGTGTGCCTCCACGGCTCGGCCTCAGAAGCTCTTGCGGGACGCAGGGGGACAGCAGTAGTACGATGCGCCCCCCTTGGAGGCACACGTCCGAGCCGAACATGCAGCACAAACACCTCGTAGTGTATGGCTGCCTTGGCGGTGTGGCCAGACATCGCCCGCCACCGAGAATGCCCTGGGACTTCCAGAATTCTGAACGCGCGCATCGCCCCTGCGGGGCCGATGCACACACAGTCTGCAGCAGGGCTGAACCTTCATCTTGTGCTTCGTGTTGCTGTCGTTTTGTGTTTCGCTTTGCTGTACCTGACTTCCTGCACCTCCCTCCCAAAACGAAAAGCAAAACACAGCCGAAGTCCAGCAAAACAGCGTTTAGGTCCAGCCTCGGTCTGCAGTCGGGCTCGATTGGAGAGGACACGCGATGAGGACACGAGACCCTTCCGAGGGCTACATTGCCATAGGAAGGGGCCTCTCAAAGACAGGACACAAGGTTACCCTTAATTTGGCAGGGTCGACTTACTAATCGAGGCCGACTGCAAGTATGTTTGTGTGACGCCGATATTACGCCACCGCGCCCGACCCACCACCAGGGCGGATCGGCATCCGAAAGCGCTCTGGCCGAGATCCATGCCTGCGTACACTCAGAAGACATCGACAACGAATCAGTTGAGTTGTCCGCCATCCTGCACAATTCTCGGGCATCCTGCGCGAACTGGCACCTGCACAGTGTTCTGCCATCCTGTTACTGGAAACATGCTCTGATGTCTCCCGGTCTGCATCTCGGGAAGGCGGAAGGACGAGGCGGCGGACGAGGACGGCGACAACGAAATCGAAAACTACGACCAGGAGGAGCAGAGGTGGGGAGGTGAGAAAAGGAAACAAGAAGGGGAGGGCAGAGGGCGCAGGAAGGAGCGATGGGGGAAGGGAAAGGGAAGACGCAAGGGGGGGGAGCGAAGACGAGAATGGAGGAGAGGCAGCAGTAGGTGCGGAGGAGGAGGAGGAGGAGGAGAAAGAGGAGGAGGAGGAGGAGGAGGACGAGGAGGAAGGGGAGTGAAGGACACTCGCCTCGTTCTTCGCCTCCTCTATGACCTTGTCGAGGATCTCCGCAGCCTCTCAGAACGCGTACCCCGAAACCCACGCTCCCTGCTCCTTCTCCTCCTCCTCCTCCTCCTCCTCCTCCTCCTCCTCCTCCTCCTCCTCCTGCCCCTGCTCCTGCTGCTCCTCCTCCTCCACCTCCTCCGCCTCCTGCTCCACCTCTTCCGCCCTCCTGCTCCTGTCGTCCTCTTCCTCACCCTCATGTGACGCCTCCCCTCTCCTCCCCATTTTCTGAGACCCCCACACCCTCCTCCTTCTCTCTCCCTCCTCTTCCTCCTCCTCTCGTCCTTCTCCTCTCCTGCCTCCTCCTCCTCCTCCTCCTCCTCCTCCTCCTCCTCCTCCTCCGCCTCCTCCTCCTCCTCCTCCTCCTGCTCATCCTCATCCTCCTCCTCGTCCTCCTCCTCCCCCTGCTTCTCCTGCTCATCATTCTCCTCATTATCTTCCCCTCCCTTTTCCAGTCTCCCCAACCCCACACTTACACCTCCTTCTCCTGCTCCACCACCTGCTCTGCCTGCTCCTCCCCCCATCCCCCCCCCTCCATCTCCTGCTCCACCACCAGCCTGCTTCCATACCCCGCCTGCTCCACCCCATCTTTGTTCTCCCCTTCCACCGCATCCTCCTCAGACTCTTACACCTCATCCTCGTCCCCTCCTCCCCGCTCCTCTTTGGCCAAGTCTTCTTCACCCCCTCTTCCTCCCCCGATTCCTCAACGTCCTCCGCCTCCTCCTCCTCCTCCTCCTCCTCCCTCCTCATCATCATCATCATCATCAGCATCATCATCATCATCATCATCATCGTCCTCCTCCTCCTCCTCCTCTTCCTCCTGATCCTCCTCCTCCTCCTCCTCCTCCTCCTCCTCCTCCCCCCGTCCTCCTCCCCATTCTTATCCACCTCAGCCTCATTCCCCCCTCCTGCGTCTCGTCCTCCTCCACCGATCCCCCCTCTCCCCCTGCCTCTCATCGTCCTCGTCCTCTTCTTCATCGTGTTGCTCGTTATCCCCCCCCGCATGTGCCTTGCGAGTGTTCGTTATATGCGAAACCTCGTCATCCTCCTCCCAATCTGCATCATCACCGTCAACAGCAGCGTCGTCAATTAGATGTCCCGTCATTATCCACATGTTCGCGTCAAATGCCGATTAGTATCCACACTTACATTCGCACTACGCTTGCCCCAGCACTGAAGCGCAACTTGCACTTGAACTGGCACTGGTAATGCTGCTTTCTCGAAACCGACGCCACGCTCTGCAGAAATGCGCAGGAATGGCCACCATGACGTTCAAAGCATTGTTCATGGCGGAACAATGGCACACGGGTCACACGTAAGTGGGTTGGCACGAGTCCTACAGCTGCTAGAACACTCGAACGCATTCTAACAAAGCTCAACCGCCTGGCTATATCGCGCGCGCAAGGCCCAAGTGATGACTCAACGTCAGAAACAGACAAACGTAGATTCTGAAGTACTACAAGGTGCTACGTCCCCGATCCATGCAACTCGGCAACTAACTGTACATGTCTCTCTACATCTGTATATGTATACACGTAGATGTGTGAGTCTAGTCATCCCACCCGCACCCCCCACCCCCTCGTCCACACCCAAAAACTGAGATTATCCACCACATTGTGCCATTATTCCTTATCGTTATGCGCTCATATCCTCATTCGTGTCTTCGTATGTTCGTACATGTATGTGCCAGGGCATATCTCATCCTCACCCTTCACAGCATCATCCTTCATTTGTTCGTCTCCATGTCCTCAGCCACCTCCTCACTCACCTCCTCCATCGTCTTCTCCACCGCCGGAAAGGTGCAACGAAACGCTCAGTGAGCGAAGCTCCAGCCTGAGAGGCCCGGTAAACAAGTCAATCAAAGACAAACTCGCACATGAAAGGAATCAGATAACTAGCTAATTAAAACAGTCAGATGCTGGCCTGCAATGGGGAAATACGGGGCAAAACGACGACGACAAAAAACCTGCGACTCTTCTAGCAATTCTCAAACTCAATGGTTCCACGGTTTCGCATCCCTGTACCCAGGGCAGGGCACATCTAACAACACTGGAAAAGATCAGAAAACCTCATCTGATTGGTTGACGAGACATAGGCCTGCTCCGAAAAAGCCCACACAAACACAGAAAGAACACAAACAAACTCGAACACTCCTTACGACAATGAAGAACCTGAAAATCCAGCGGATCTGGGACGAGATCCACCAAAATAGCTCGGATCCTGGCAGGCAGCATAGCGCGATTATCGGAATCGTTTGTATGAGTTCTTGTGCAAGCAACTGGTTCGTCGACCAACCAGGTGCTGCTACTGGTCAACTTTGTTGTTACACGTGCTCTGCCCTGGGCGCGGGGCGTAATGAAAGCACTGGATTTGAAAGTAGCTGTATACTCATATGTGTAGATATGCAGCAGCATGCATGTATAAATAACTATATACAAATATACAAATGCCAACACACATATACCAATACATATATTCATACATATACATATGTATACGCATGTACATATACATATACATATGCATGTACATATGCATATACATATACATATACATATACATATACATATACGTTGACAGCTACATATACAAGCATATAACTACACACATACATATAGGTATACCTATGCATATGCTAATGCATACACATTGACATATACATGCACATGAAAGTATACACGAATACATGTATGCATGTATACAATTATACAACATTGCACAATCACAATCAGATACCTATACATGTACATGTACACACGCAAGCATTCCGGAACATGGTGGCAGCTATGTGCGGCTGCGCTGCCAGATACATCCTCACTAGTTATTACATCTCAAAATCCACCACCCCCACTTCATCCACCCCTCATCCAACTCGCTCCTCATTCTCCGCCTACCGGTGGGGGAGAAGGAAAGTGATGAGGGGGACATGGAGGGAGGAGTGAGCAAGGAGAAGGGATGATACTGATGATGAAAAGCACAAAGGCTGGGTCGCCGAAGCAGACCGGAGCCGTGGGGCAGGCAGCGCGCTGCCGCTTGAGAACGAGGACGAGCAGCGACTGCGCTGCCGCGGCCACTGACCGCTGCTACCGCCGCCGCATCCGACTTCCACAGCCGCCAACCGCCGCTAGCGCAGCTGCCGCTAGCCGCGCCTGGCGCCACTACCCGCCGCTGCAGCCGCCGCTACCACCAGAACTAAAGGGGCCCTGGGACACACAAACAAATCTGGCGACCCTGTCGGCGTGTGTGAGGGGTTTGTCAGTTCGAGTCGTCGTCTCCGTCATTCGATTGTCGTCGTCTCTGTCGTCCCCTTTCCCTGCGCTCCCCCTTTCCTTGGGCCCGTCGCCGCTCTCCCCACTTTCCCTGGGCCCTCCTCCTCAAGCGCTGGGCCCGTCGCCGCTCCCCCCCTCCCTAGGCCCTCCTCCTCAAGCGCGCCAGCCAAAGCGAAATTGAGCAACGTCGTAATTGACTGGAAGGGAAGCGCCTTCCCTTTAATCTGCGACGACGGCGACGCTGACGTGGGTCAGAGTCCTCATGGATGCTTCTTGGAATCTGTTCGAAGCGGTCTCGGGGGCTTCTGGGGGACAGTTTAGGGGCCTCTTGGGAGCCTCCTGGGGGCTTCTTGGGAGCCTCTTGGGGGCCTCTCGGGGCTTCCTGGGGGCCACTTGGGGGCCTCTGAGGAGTCTCTCGGTTCCTCCTGGGACAATGTCCGTTCTGGTCCCTCGTCTGGGCACCCTCTTGGAGCCGTCTTAGAGGCCTCTTGGGCCGTCTTGGAAGCGTCTTGGGCCGTCTTGGGGCCCTCTAAGGCCCGTTCGGGTGGGGGCGATCTGAGGGGCCTCTTGGGCCGTCTTGGAGTGTCGGGTAACGGAATGGGCGAGAACGCCGAAATGCTTCAAAAACCATTGGGAAATCAGTGATTCTGTGATTCTTCCTCTTGGGGCCCTTTTGGGAGTGCTCCTGGAGGCCTCTTGGGGCGTCTTGCAGGGCTCTTGGGCCGTCTGGAGGCCGTCAAGGCGTCTTGGACAAATTGCTCGGCGACTCGGAGCCCTCTTGGACGGTCTTGGGGGCCTCTTGGGGGCCTCTTGGGGCACTCTTGGCCCGTCTTGGGGCTTTTCGGGGCCCGCCCGGGGGGGGGGGGAGCCGTATCCGACCTGGGACCCCCCCCTCCTCGGGACGTGGGCATCGTCTCCTGGGAGGCCCACGCCAGAAGGCCACGCTGGGAGGCCACGCTGAGGGGCCACGCCGGGAGTCCGCGCTGGGAGGCCGCGCAGAGGAGCTCACCAAGGAGAGAGGGCGGTCCCGGCTCAAATCCCGTCGCGGGGAGCGCGCAGTGGCTCCCAGGAGCGCCGGCGAAGCAGAGGCGGAGGCCCGCCCTCGCCGAGCGCGCGCCTGCGTGGGCCTGCCGCGGGGCTCCCAGAGCTGGCCTCGTGAGGCAGAGTGCCGACCGGCGTCAGGCATTGCGGGGGGGGAGCCGGGTGCGTACTGCGTGCGAGGCGGGGATTTGTCCATATCCACCGCCTGGGAACCCACGTCCTGGTGCCCCAGCAGGCGGTGGATATGGATGTGTTTCGGCCCCGGGGGCCCGAATATGTCCAGATCCACCGCCTGCCGAGATCCCCGAAATTGATCCTCCAGGCGGTGGTCATGTATAAATTCCCGCCTCGGACTGCGATGCACGAGCGCGTTCCACGACTCGCAAAGGAACTACTCGCAAATGGTCTGGATACGCCGCGGGGGATCTGCGACAAATTACATCATCAAAGCCGACATGTGTTTTTCGGACGTTTGCGAGTAGGCACTTTGCGAGCAGTGGAACGCGCTCGGTGATACGAGTACCCGAACTGCACTGCCCCTGTTCGAGTTCCGCAGGCCGGAAACGAAACGTCATTCGTGCGATGCCAAGCGCACGTTTCCATAGCAGGATCCCTCACAGTTGTCTGCGACTTCAAAACAACTGTTCGTTGTTGGCGTCAACGGGTCGTCATCCCTGATGGACACGCTGAGCTCCGAACCCAAGCTTTGAATTGTTACATTGCCCTGTGTGACCAGAAGGTGAAAGAGGGACAACTGAGAGGGAGTCTCTTCTGGACCACGGTGCGCCGGGAAGCGGCGCAGCCACCAGCCGCAGCATGACCCCACTGTTGAGAAAAGTGCCAGCACCCTCTCTCTTATCCGCTGCTCTGGGGGACTAGGTTCCTCATATTTCCGGGGTGTCCGTCCTCCCCCCACTTCCCATATTTTCCCATACTTTCCTGGGAGTCGACGATTGATTTTGTCTGTGCTTCTGTTTTCTCCTCCTAAAGAACAGCCGACGCTGGCCGCCGCTGGCCGCAGCCCGCCGACGCCACCGCCAACGCAGCTGCCGACGCCGGCCGCCGCCAGGCGCCGCCTGCGCCTTGGTCAGCTGGGGCGGCGCCGCGGGGGCCGCTGGCGCGGGCGCCTCCGCCGCCGGTGCCTACGCGGCGCTGGCACGACGACGACGACGACGACGACGACGACGACGACGACGACGACAAGGCCACCGACGGTATCTGCGGCGGCGGCGACAACGACGGCGCAGGCGCCAGCGACGTCAACAGAGGCGGCGGCGGCGGCGAGGACGGTGACGACGGCGACGCCAGGCCAAGGCGAGGAGGACGGGGAAAGGGGACGGCGCTCCTCCTCCTCCTCCTCCTCCTCCTCCTCCTCCTCCTCCTGCTGCTGCTCCTCGTCCTTCATCCTGCTCATGTTTGTTTCGCTCTTCCGTGTTGTCATCATCATCATCATCATCATCATCATCATCATCATCATCATCATCATCATCATCATCATCATCATCATCATCATCATCATCATCATCATCATTCATCATCATCATCATCAGCAGCAGCAGCAGCAGCAGCAGCAGCACAGCAGCAATCATCATCATCATCATCATCATCATCATCATCATCATCATCATCATCATCATCATCATCATCATCCATCACCATCATCATCACCATCATCATCATCATCATCATCATCATCATCATCATCATCATCATCATCATCAATCATCATCATCATCATCATCATCATCATCATCATCATCATCACCATCATCAATCATCCATCATCACCACCACCACCACCACCACCACCACCACCACCACCACCACCACCACCACCACCACCACCACCACCACCACCATCATCATCATCATCATCATCATCATCATCATCATCATCATCATCATCATCATCATCATCATCATCATCATCATCATCATCATCATCATCATCATCATCATCATCATCATCATCATCATCATCACCATCATCACAATCAGCATCATCACAATCAGCATCGTCATCTCCACCACCACCACCCCTATCATCTTCATTACCATCATCATCATCATCAGCAGCAGCAGCAGCAGCAGCAGCATCACCACCACCACCATCATCATCATCAGCATCATCAGCATCATCATCACCATCACCCTCATCCTCATCCTCGTCCTCGTCCTCGTCATCATCCTCGTCATCGTCAACACCACCATCACAATCAACAGCCACATCATCAACAACAGCAGCATCCGTGCCTCTCCACTCCCCTCCCCTCGTTCCTTCCCGCTCCCTCTCTCTCTATCTCTCTCTCTCTCTCTCTCTGTCCCTTTCTTTCTCTCCCTCTCTCTCTCTTTCTCTGTTTCTCGCTTTGTATATCACTGTCTCTCTGTCTCTCTCTCTCTCTCTCTCTCTCTCTTGTAGGTATGTACATGTCAGATTACAAATACATACCGTGCTGCTGGGCACGGAGGGGGCGTCTCCTCGAGTCCTTTGCCAAATCATCTAAGCCTCAGTCCGCACTCGTGGAGTCTTAAAGGGGCCCAGAGCCCAAATTCTCAAATATTCCAGGGCTTTGTGCGCCTCCCCCTCCCCTGAGCCTCAGATCGTCTACCCACGTGACTTTTCCGGGCCTGAGAGGGCGCCAAAACAGGCCCAGAGGGATCGAGGATGCCTACGAGACGGCCGAACAGGGCCCCGAGTCGCTGAAAGACCGCCCCAAGACGCCAAAGATGGCCTCAAGATAGCTCAGGAGGCCTCCAAGGCACCCCAAGAGGCCTCCAAGAGGCTGCCCAAGAGGGCCCCAAGAGGCAAACAGAAGTCATGTTCCTTAGGTACTTGACTAATTCAAGCTCTCTCGCCTTTTCGGCTTCCCGACGCTCCAAGACTGCCCAGGAGGCCCCCAAGATCGCCCCAAGACGGTCCATGAGGTCCCCAAGAGGGCCCCAAGAAGGCCCAAGAGGCGCCCAAGACGGCCCAAGAGGGCCCAAAGACGGCTCCAAGAGGGGTCCCAAACGGGGAACCCGAACGGACATTTCGAACCCTCGGCCCCGAGGGGCCCCCAGGAGGCCCAGCGAGGCCCCAAAAAGACCGCAAGAGGCCGCAAGAGGCCCTCAAGAGGCCCCAAGAGGCTCCCAAGAGGCCCCAAAACTGCTCCCAAGAGGACCCCGAAGACGCTCCGAAGAGACCCCAAGAAGCATCCGTGAAAATTCTGACCCACAACCCTGGCACGGTAGCAGGATGGGCCGAAGGCCATTAGATATTCCCTCTCCTGCCCTCTCATGCCTTTCCATCCTCCTCCTCTTCCTCCAACTCCTCTTCCTCCTTCTCCAACTCCTCCTCCTCCTCCTTCCACCCCTCCCTCCCTCCCTCCCTCCCGGCGTATCCCCTCACGCATCCTCCGCCATCTCCTCCTTCCAAACTTCCTGATCCACGCAGTCCACCTTCCTCATCCATCCCTGCTCAGTCCTCCGTCCATCTCAGCGTCGTCCCTATTCACTCCCGCCCATCTCCCCCCATGCCTCCCACAATGGTTATCCCCCTTCCCTCCCTCGCGCCTCTCTCCTCACTCCCCTATCCCCCCTCCCACCATCACAATCCTCCTCCTCAGAATCACTTTGTCTTCTCATTCGTCCTTCCCTCCTCCCTCATCCTGCCCTCCTCCTCTCCCTCACCTTTCATCGCATCCCTTCCTCCTCTCTACCTTTCACTATCTCCTTCTCTTCTCCCTTCTTTCTCCCGCCCCCCATCCCTCAGTCCGTCATCCTTCTCCTGCTCCTCCTCCGCCTCATCCTTCTCCTTCTCCTCCTCCTCTTCCTCTTTCTCCTCCTCATCCTCATCCCCATCATCATCTTCATCTGCATCTTCATCGCCATCCTCATCCTCATCCTCCACTCCTCTTCCTTGCTAATCATTCCTCCATGTAGCACCCCGAGGCCTGTCGGAAGGGCGGGCCGGGCGTTTCGCCTGAAACTGCATCACCATGTATGAGCCTGAACCTTCATAACTGGCGACAATTTCACACATGGAGGGCAGGCCGTTTTCGGAATGTGGCTCTCGCCTTCGTAAAAAGTGCAAGAGCTTCACGGATTGAGGACAGGTCGTTTTCAAACTGTGGCTATCCCCTTATCGCCGCGCACATTCTTTTTCCAAAGTTGCAAGAGCTTCACGGATAGAGGGCGGCTCGTGTTCAAAATGCGGCTACCGCAGTAGCGCGGCACACATTTATTGTCAACAGTCGCAGGAGTTTCACCTATTGAGAACGGCTCGTTTTCAACATGTGGCTCCCGCCTTGGCGCCGCGCACATTCGTTTCGACAACGTGAAAGAGTTTCGCTGGTTCTCATAATTAACATTCCAGAAATAATGTATTGGATCGATTCAGGACTGTCAGGGCGCAGCAGTTACGTTGATTGGGGGTGTCGAAGTGTCGTTGCTCAGTCATGGGTCTACACTGGTCCAACTCATCCTCATCCTCCTCCTCCTCCTCCTCCTCCTCCTCCTCCTCCTCCTCCTCCTCCTCCTCCTCCTCCTCCTCCTCCTCCTCCTCCTCCTCCTCCTCCTCCTCCTCCTCCTCCTCCTCCTCCTCCTCCTCCTCCTCCCTCCTCCTCCTCCTCCTCCTCCTCCTCCTCCTCCTCCTCCTCCTCCTCCTCCTCCTCCTCCTCCTCCTCCTCCTCCTCCTCCTCCTCCTCCTCCTCCTCCTCCTCCTCTCCTCTCCTCCTCCTCCTCCTCCTCCTCCTCCTCCTCCTCTCCTCCTCCTCCTCCTCCTCCTCCTCCTCCTCCTCCTCCTCCTCCTCCTCCTCCTCCTCCTCCTCCTCCTCCTCCTCCTCCCTCCTCCTCCTCCTCCTCCTCCTCCCTCCTCCTCCTCCTCCTCCTCCTCCTCCTCCTCCTCCTCCTCCTCCTCCTCCTCCTCCTCCTCCTCCTCCTCCTCCTCCCTCCTCCTCCTCCTCCTCTCCTCCTCCTCCTCCTCCTCCTCCTCCTCCTCCTCCTCCTCCTCCTCCTCCTCCTCCTCTCCTCCTCCTCCTCCTCCTCTCCTCCTCCTCCTCCTCCTCCTCCTCCTCCTCCTCCTCCTCCTCCACCTCCTCCTCCTCCTCCTCCTCCTCCTCCTCCTCCTCCTCCTCCTCCTCCTCCTCTCCTCCTCCTCCTGCTCCTCCCATGCATCCTCTTATCCTCCTTCCCCCTCAAGCCCCCTTCCTCCATCTTTCATTCCCCCCTCCCTCCCTCATCCCGCCTCCGTCCTGAACGCCCATCCCCCCTCCACCTCCCCATCCCCTTCCCTTGACACTCCCTCCCCCCGTCGTCATCGCCGACTTCCCCATCCCCTTCCCTTGACACTGGCATGCCTCCCCCCGTCGTCATCGCCGACGCCGTTCGTCGTCGCCGCCGCCGTCGTCGCCCTCGCCGACGTCCGCCGCCACCACCACCAAAGCCATCGCCACTGTCCGCCGCCGCCGCCGCCCAGTGTAGGCATCGGGCGCTGTCGCCGCCACCGCCGCCGTCGGTCGTCATCGTCCCTCTCGCCGCGGCCACCACCGTCAGAGGCCTCGCCGCTGGCTGCCGCCACTGACAGCCGCCGCCGCCGCCGCCCGCAGTCGCCGCCGCCGCCGCCCAGGGCAGGCAGCGGGCGGCGGCGGCCGCCTCGGCGGGCGCGGGTTCCTCGGCCATGCAGCGGGCGCGCGCTCCCCCGAGCGGCCGCCAGCAACGGGGCGCCGCGGGTCGGCGGCGGGTGAGGGGGGGGGGGGGGGGGGAAACACGGCGTCCGCCGCTAAACCTTGACCAAGGGGCGTGGGGCGCAGCGGAGGAGGAGGGCGGGGAGAACGGCGGGGAGGGGGAGGACGACAACGAGAGGAAGCACGATGAGGAGGAGCAAGAGGAAGGAAGCCCCCGTCCCCCCATTCCCTCGTCCACGCCTGCTGCCCGTCCTCGCCCTCCTTCCTCCATCGTCCTTCCGTGTCTAACCTCATCCCCACTGCTATCCCATCCTCCGTTCGTTCCGATACACCCACGACCTCCCTTGTCCACCCCTGCACCCCAGTGTTCCTGCACACCTTCTCCATACCGCGTGTCGACCCGAACGGCGCGGTCGACGGCAGCAACGGGGAGAAAGAAGGGCGAAAGAGGGTAGCGAAACATACCCGCACAGCCACAGTTCATACACGTGTTCTGTTCACCCCGAGCGACGACCGATCGGATCCCCCTCTCCTCCTCTCATCCTCCCCCGCTCTTCCGTCCCGCCCTCTTCCCTAGTCCCTAGTCCACCGTCCCTCTGCGCTCCCCCGTCCGGTCTCGCTCATTACTCCTCGATCCTCCTCCTCCTCCTCCTCCTCCTCCTCCTCCTCCTCCTCCTCCTCCTCCTCCTTCCTCCTCCGCATCATCCTCCACCCCTCCTGCTCCACCTCCGTCCCATGTCCCCTCCATCTCTCCTCTCATCCGTACCTATTTGCTCATCAACCCTGCCCACATCCCAATTGCCCGCCCTTATCTTCCCCATCCCCCTGCTAACTATCCAATCACTAAGTAGCACCACAAGCGTCATCACGGGCTCACGTATGATCGTAATCGTCAGTTCCACCGTCGTCGTCATCATCAGCATCATCAGCGGTAGCATCATTATCATCGTCATCATCAGCATCATCATCAGCATAATAATCATCACCACCACCACAATAATCAGCATCATCAGCAGCATCAGCATCAGCATCAGCATCAGCATCAGCATCATCCTCATCATCATGAACACTAACAATAACAACGTCATCAACATCAGCAGCAGCAGAAGCAGAAGCATCATCATAATCATCAGCAGTAACATCGTCATAATGATTATCAACAGCATCAGGAATCTCATCACCATCATCAGCATCATTATCACCACAGCCACCGCCACTACCATCAGCAACGTTATCATCATCATAAGCTCTCCATCATCATCAGCATCATCAGCAGTATCATAAGCATCAGCATCAACATCCACATCGGCATCAACATCAGCAGCATCAGCATCCTCATCATTATCAATATCAACGTCATCAGTATCATCATCAGCAGCAGCATCAGCATCATCATCATCCTCGTCATCGTCGTCATCAACATCATCATCACCACAACCATCATCATCATGAGCCTCGTCATCGTCATCGTCACCGTCATCGTCAACATCGTCGACATCGTCAGCATCGTCGGCATCGTCAGCATCTTCAGCATCGTCAGCATCCCATCGTCGTCATCAACATCGCCATCGCCATCGACATCGTCAGCATCATCGCCAGCATCATCATCATCATCATCATCATCATCATCATCATCATCATCATCATCATCATCATTATCAACAGCAGCGGCATCATCATCTTCCTCATCAACTATTACCTCCCTGTTCCCTCCTCTCTCCCAGTTCTCGTCCACAAGGATCCATGATCCCTCATCCCTTCGTCCTGCTCAAAACGAGAAGACAGGCGGAGACGGAAGATGATGGAGGGGGGAAATAAAAAAGAGAATTGGGGTGGTGGAGATGGAAAGTCCAAATCTACCGACCCGGTCGGCTGGTGCGAGAAACTCCGCGACAGCCCACGATCGCGTCGAAGAGCCCAGCGTACCAGAGCGTTGCGAAGTCACTAACCGGAGGGGTTCAAGATCGCCAGACCGAGAAAAATCGATCCAAACTGCAACGACGAACTCAAAGGAAAGCCCCTTCCCCCGACCCATGCCCCGACGAAAGGGGGGGGGGCCCGGGGGTCGGGGGGGTGCGCCCCGCACCCGGCCGAGTAAACGGCAGGGGAGCGTCCCAGGGGGGGGAGTTCCTGGGTCAGAATGCGCTCCACTCCCTTCTTATTTTCGTTCATCCTCGCGCGCCTTGGGACTTCTTGTGGCAATGCAGGTCTACGACGCCAAAGCGGGCACTGAGACGGCACCAGAATCCTCCAAGACGGCCCAAGAACGCCTCGATAAGGCCCCCCCCAGGGGCCCTGGAGGGACAAATCAGCTCTCTCTTGTGTGTTTTCGTCAGCTGTAATCGATATCGCCTTTTCTGGTTACCCACGCTTCAAGCAAGCCCAAGAGGCCCCCGCTATTTTCCCAAAACGGCCCAGGGGACCCCACGGAGGCCTTTACGACTGCCAAAGACAGCCCTCGGATGGCCCGAAAGACCCCCTGACAGCCCACGACGGTCCAAAGAGGGGGAACGCCACCTCACATCTCGAGGCCTCCGCCCCAAGAGGAACCTTAGAACCGCCAACAAGCTCCTGATAGCCCCCAAAAGGTCCCCCGAGACCGCCACGAAGCCCTCAAACGGATCCCGAGAAGCCTCCGTGAGGCCCTAATGGCCCCGAAAGGCCTCATCCTTTACCGCCACCTCCCGCCTCTTGCGCTGCTGATGGGCGGAACCAGCCGCAAGGCCTGTGCGGTATGAATACGTGTACATGTGTATATGCATACCATATGGTGTATGCGTGTGCATGAACAACTGCATACATCTATATACATACAAGTATGGGTGCATGTGGATACACAGGGGTGTTTGTATACACACCCATATATGTATAAATGTGGCAGTATACAACCAGCCACGTTTACATGTCCGCATGCATATACATTCACATATACACATGCACACACAGGCATATAAGAATACATACAAGTATACATACATCTATACATGCCTACATATATGTATTAGTACACGCACACCTATACATGTTCCTGTACGTATGTGAAGGTGTGAATGTATGCTTATGTACATGCATAATCATAAAAACCTGAAATATGTATATACGTATAAACCTAAACGTACATGTGTATGTATGCATGCGAATAAAGAAATACCTATACATATGAGCATAGACATGCATGTACACCTGCAGATTCACATACACATGCATAGATATATACGCATGCATGTACACATTCAGATGCACATTAGGAAGACACATGTGCATAGACATGCAAATGTACACATACACATACACACCTGAATTCACGTACGTACGAATATTCATTAAATCAAAATGCACATACACATGCATACACATACACATACATGTACGCATGCAGACACCTATATATCTATATACAAACATATGAATACCGATGTATGTATAGATATATGTGTATGTATATACGTATGTGTATATACATACACCTATACAGGGTTGAATATATACCTATATGTATATATACCTATAAATGTATATATACACACACTAAACAACAACACAACAAAAAGTGAGGGTTCTCCGCCCGCGCGAATCCATTTCAAGTCGTGCGCGCCTTGGCTGCTTCGGGGCAGGCAAACGTAGTCGCGTTTATCTGTTCTTTTTTCCTGCTCGGTGGGGGGGCCAGGCAGGGCCCAGCCAGACGGGCCAGCGCGCACGTCGGGGCCCACGGGGGGGGGGCCGGGGGCACACCGCGGGGGGCCCGCGGCGTCGCGGGGGCCCATCGCCGCGGGGCCCACGGGTGGCGCCTGTCGTGTGGGGGCCCGGGGGAGGGGGCCCGGGCGTCGTGGGGGCCCGTCGCCGCGGGGCCCACGGATGGCGTTAGTCCTGTCTTCGCGGCGACAAGTGGAATGTTGAAAATTGAAAAAACGGCGCCTGCGGCGGGTTTCTTCGTTGAATGTTCCGCTCAACTTTGTCGAGTAGCCCGTCCAGGGGGCCCGCGGCGTCATGGGGGCCCGTCGCCGCGGGGCCCACGGGTGGCGCTGGTCTTGGTTGCGCAAAAATGCAGCAACGCTGAAAATTAACAAAATTGGCGCTTGCGGCGGTCTTCTTCAGTGAATATTTTGTTTAGATTGTTTCAGTAACCCGTCCGGGGGGGGCCCGCGGCGTCGTGGGGGCCCATTGGTGGCGCCGGGGTCTTGGCTGCGCAGGAACGCAGGATAAAACATCGGCGCCTGCGGCGGGCTTCTTCTTTGCATGATTCGTTTAACTTTCGCCAATCAGGCCCTGGACCGGGGCTTGGGAATTGGTGCGACGATCTTCGTAGCCGCCTTGGCTTGGGCGCCCGTTCAGCCCTTGGGATTCGTTCTCACTTGTCCGTGATGGAATACGGCATCTATACGTGATCTCATTCGTTTTCTTGTGGCTCCGCAAGCGCCAGGGCGTCGATCGCCATGTTCGAGGTCACAACGCGTTGCGCCGAGACCACAGCAACCCCTTACTCATATCTGAATTTCTGGAATATGGTGTACATAGATGCATACATGCATGCATACATACATGCACGCAGACATACAAACATGCCGACATACCGACATACTGGCATACAGACACACAGACCTACAGACATGCATATATATAAATCTATATATGTATGTATACAAGTGGCACGTGTGTGCCCAGGCTCAAACAAAAAACCTGAAGGGGCGTTTGAAGCAGCAGTGAAATAATGCAACAGCGAAGTCGCACTCGAGCGCAAGTGGGGTTGCCACACCTTGCGATGTGTGCACCAGGGCCCCCCAGGAAGCCTCAGGAGGCCCGATTTGGATACCAGAAGAGGCTCCAGGAGGCCCCAGGATTGTGAGTGTTGTGTGGGTGCGTGTGTGTGTGTGATGTGTGCTCTGTATTGTGCGTGTTTTTTGTGCGTTGTAGGTGTTGTGTGTGTGGGTTATGTTTGTCTAGGCTGCGATGTGTTGGGCGTGATTTGTGTCTCTCTGTGGAGGCCCCGGCCCCAGGAGGCCCCAGGCGGCCTCAGGAGGCCCCAGGAGACCCCAGGAGGCTTCAGGAAGCCCCAAGAGGCTCCAGGAGGCCGCAGGAGGCCCCAGGAG